GGACAGCTTGAGGCTCTGTCTCAAAAAAAAAAAAAAAAAAAAAGAAGGAAAAACCCTGCTGGCTCTACTGCTCTGTCCTCACCCAACCCTCAGTTTCCAGTGCGATGGCCACAGTACGGCAGAAGCTGTGTTGCCACTGGCTGTGCCACTGAAGGCCCAGGGCAGGAGAGGCTGAGCCAACCTGTGTCATGCTGTTGGGACAGCAGTCCCCACTGGCACTTTTGCTGCAGGGTGGCTCAACCCTGTGAGTAGGAGACACCGGTGAGGCAGCCTGCCACCTGCTCCTGCTGTCTGACTGCTGTGTCCTGCCCCTTGGTGGAGTAGTCAGTGTGCCGCTGGGCTCCATGCCCAGCCCCCTCTCACTTGGCCCTCCCTCCTGCTCATGCCCCTCACATCTCCTCTTGAGGCCTGCATCCTGAAAATGTGGTTGCCTGGGGGCCACTTTATAGAGGAGCTGCTCACACTCCCCCAAAGGCTGGTCCATGCCAAGACCTGAGGGACCAAAGAGAAGCCCGTGGCTCAAGGTTCTGGCCTGCACAGTGTGGTCAGGGCTCCTCAGCCCAGGATCAGCATGGTGACACCGCTCTTGGGGGCTGTGGGTCCCCCTCCTAGGACCACACCTTCCAAGAGCCCCTTGGACCTGCTGGGAGCCTGAAGGGAGCTGGGCAGCTGCTGAGGGGCTCAGCTCAGGGGTGGCAGCCCTGGTGTGGGGCCCACCTTGCTAACTTCCTAACCCCTCCCTCTTTCCCCATGCCCTAATGTCTGTCCCTGCTGCATCATGGTATAGGTCCAGTCTGGGGGCTACTGGCCAAAACATTGGGCCCAAGTCCCAGGGGAGGTGCTAGCTCAGAGAAGCCCTGACCAGGAGTGGCCCAGGGACCTGGGGAGAAGGAAAGTCACCCAGGTATGCCTTCTAGGGGTGTCCCCCAAAGAGCTGAGCTAGAGGCCACAACAGGGAGCTAGAGCCATGGGAGAGGAGCCAGGGGCTAGGCCTGCTGCATGCAGCCATCCCCCAGGAGGTGAGGGCAGACGGGCACAGTGTCCACCCTGGCCAGCCTCACACCACCTTCTTGCATTGAGGGGCTTGCACCACCTGGATTTTGTGGCTGGGTGGGAATGGCCACAGGAAGAGGCATGGGGTGCACTTCAGGCCATAAGCCATAGCCAGTACTACTGTGCTTCCCAGCAGGACTTCAGGGACAGGGTCCCAGCATCAAGTGAACAGGGCCAGGACAGCATGGTCAGCCTGTGAGAGCCCTGCCCTCTCAGGGCTGTGCAACGGCCAGCAGCAGCCACACAGCCTGGCCAGTGTGGAGGACATGGAAGGGAGTAAGTGAACGGGTGGCCAGAGGGTGGCCCAGGATCCAGGACATCTTGGGGAGCAGATGTGAATGTGGACCTCGTGGTAGCAGTGGAGGCAGAGCCGTGGGAGCCGTCCCCAGCACCCCCACCCCAGAAGACCGGATCCTCATCTGGGATCTCTGGGCAGCAAAGATGGGGGGACCAGGCAGAAGGCCCCCTGCGCTAGGCTGGGGCCCCCAGCAGGTCAGCCCCCAAGGACACCCCTAGTGCCACCAGCCTGCCTCAGAATGTGGGTGCCAGGCACTACCAAGTGGACTGCGAACCTTCTCTGAGCCCAGTTGGAGGGGCTGGACCTGTGGGGTGAGGCCTGGCCACCACCCCCAGACAAGGCTGAGAACCTGCTGAGAGCCCAGCTCTTTCTAGGTCAGGGCAGAAGGGCCTAGGAAGAATCCTGAGGACACCTGCACCCGGGGAGCCTGCCACTCCCGCTCCCTGCATTTCCCCACTAACTCTTCTCGAAAGCGCGGGACGTGGGACGCTCCTGTCCCCACGAGCCTGCCAGTCGTTCCTAGTCGGCGACTGTGGGGGTGGAGTGGGCGGGTGGAGAAGCTCCTGCCCGCCCGCCCCGCCTCGCCCTGCCCCGCCTCGCGCCCCCAGATGGAAGGCGGGATTGCCGCGGGGAGGGGCCTGCACGCCTTTAAAATTGCGAGGGGAGGCAGGCTAAGCGAGGGACAGCGCGCTGGTTGCGGAACCGAAGGGTGCAGGCAGGTGGGAACATGGACCGGGGAGGGGGCCACTGAAGGAAACCGAAATACTTGCCCGGGCCGAGGCCAGGGCCAGGGGGGGCGCAGGCAGGCGGTGAGGTCTGCCCGGCAGGTGTCCCACTAGAGCCCGGGCTGGGCTGGGGCATGAGGCCAGGCGCAGAGGGCTCGCCAGCCCGCGGCTTCCCGGCGGGTTGGGTGCGCCATCCTGGCAGCCCGCAGATCGGGTTCCTCCCAGTCTCTGTCCCTGGCATGGCTGGGATGGGGGGGCGTCTTTGCCTCTGGCATGGCTAGGGGAGCAGGCAGGTGGCCAGGCCATCAGGATGCCAGATTGAGAGGGCGGGGCAGCTGGAGGCAGCGTTGTTGGGGCTAGGGTGCATCCCTGGCTGGTGAGGGAGGGTGCTGTCCAGGGTGAGCGGTCACAGGAGGGTCACTCTGGTCATCTGGAGACCCTGGGGAGGCAGAGGTAGGAGAAGCCCTCCCCACCATTGGAGGTGGCGGGACTGCCACCCACCTGCCTGTGTTCTGAGCTTGTGTTAAGGTCTCTGACCGCTGGTGCAGGGTACACGTGGGTGAGGTCTTCCCACATGGGGCAGAGATCAAGGTTGCTGCCTCCCTATGTGGGCTCAGACAGCACCACCAGGATCTGTTCTGCTCTGGCTCCAGGCTAGAGGGGGGTCCTGTAGGCAGTGTGGTAACAGATCATGACACCCCACCCCCACCGGTCGCTGGGCACAGACCCAGCCTTCTCAGGAATGGACTCCCTCCACCTGTTGCCTAGGGACCGCCTGAGGCGGGGTCCTTGCCTTCCTTATACTCCTGGGAAATCTGTGGGGCCCAAGGGAACACTGACCCTTTGGCTTCTGTGACGCCTTGAGTTTTCCTCTGGTCTCCTGCCTTGAACTTCCTCTTCAACGCCCTGGCCCTGCCCTAGATGCCCTGCATTAGCTCCAGCTGTCTGTCTCCATCCTGTGGCTTTCCCAAGTCCCTGTGGAGACCCAAGCCACCCTCTTCGGACTTTCCTCTTGCCAGCCTGGGAAGGGGCAGGGCCCGAGAAGCACATAGCAGGCTCAAGGTTGCCACGGAAAGGACAGGGAGTGGCACAGCCATCCGCAGCCGGCACACTCACATGTGGCCTGCCTGCCCCACCTCCTCGCCTCTTTCCTGAGTCTTCCTTTGTTGAGGGCCCTAAGCCACTGTCCCCACACCCCTGCTTATGTTGGCTGTCTCACCCTGGCATTGCCTTCTCCACAGCAGCACAACCCATCTGGCCTGTGATGCTCTGACCTCCCTGAGCTTCTCTCATTTCCCTTCACCTGGCCCTCTTGCCAGAACCTAGCCTGGGCTGGATGCCACCCTCCTGCATAGTCCTCTGGACTCCCAGGCCCTGTGGAGGGGGCCCTGGAGCAAGGTATGCTTGGCAAAGGGAACAGTGCCCAGGGGCAGTCACTGGTGCAGATGGGCACAACAGGACCCAGGCAGGGTTCCTGGAAGTGGAGCCTGAGACACAGGTCCCTGGGGAGTGGTCCCAGGATGGTCCCAGGAAGGGAAGTGAGGAGGCAGGGTAGGCAGCCCTGTATCCAGCATGGCCACACTATACTGTGCTCTTGAGCCCAGCCTCTTCCTAGGGAAGCCAAGCACATAAGAGAAGGCTCTGGGGACAGGTCCCCTGGGCACCCCTGGCCTCTCCCACTATCTGGATGCCTTCAACCCAGTGTACATCTTCTGGCTCAAGCTGGGGAGTGACCATACCCCCCTCTAAGCAGAACCGAGAAAGGCAGACCCACACATGTCCCACCCCCTCCTGGTGAAGTGTGCTGCCCTGCTGGGCAGGTGACTCCCCCCTGGCCCCACGTAGGTCTGGACAGGAGGGGCCAGAGCACTCTGGGAGCTGTAGTAGCCCTTGGCTCAGTGGGCCTAGCTGTGTCCTTTGGTGAAAACTTAACTTTATCCAGGGACCAGGATGTCAATACCCCTCAACCAAGAGCTGTAGTGTGGAGTCAAAGCCCCCATTGGGTCATTGGGAATGGTGGGTGGTTCATGGTCCCGTGTTGCCCACATCCTGGGACATAGCACTGTGGGAAAGCAGAGTACTTGGCCTCCTGGGTGATTGTGCCCCAGCCCGCAGGGGGCTCCTGGGAGCCAGCCCTTCCACAGCGCCTTCAGCACGTGGTCCCTACTCCCTGTTAGGCTGCTTTCTGGTGGCATGCAGTAGAGATGAGGGTCCCATCCAGCCAGTAACTTGCAGTGATCCCTTGTGTGTGTCCTACATGTCCTGTGTATCTTCTCCCTTGCCTGACACTGTCCCAAGTGCACACCCTTGGGAGAGCTGAACTGTACTCTGTGTCCTGACCCTGGGTGCTCCCCCCCAGCCTAGCGGCACTGGCCCTTCTAATCCTGGCACCAATGTCTGAGGCGATTCCCATAGGGGCTGGCAGAGGGGCCATCTGCCCACAGCCCTCTCCCCCTCCCCCCGGGGACTGAGTTCTATACCCCTGGAGGGTGTCTAGGCAGCACCTGTCCACCCCACTAGGTCCTGTGACATCAAGGGCCTATCCCACTACAAGACTATGGGGCACTGTAACCATCTGAGCCATGCTACCCCTACCATAGGGAAGACTAAAGCCCACCTCTTCTGCTGCCTGGTGGGGTCCCCTGCTGTCTGGTGTGGAGGCCATCCTGAGTGAGCAGGCTGCAGGGTGGCATGTGGGGCTCACAAGTTATAGAATGGCCCCTCAGGGGACCATCCTGGAAGAGGGCATGACAGGACCCCAGCACTTTCCATGGTTAGGGTTGCAGGTGCCCAGAGTACAGATGGGTGTGATGCCTATGGTGGCTGGACTTGAGGTTCCTGAACTCCAGGACAGCTGGGCTCCAGCTGCAGATTTCAGAAGCTAAGGGCAGGTGCAGGAGTCCTCTGACTTAGCGGGTGGAGGAAGCATAGCAGAAGTCCATCACCAGGGAGGAGTCAGAGGCAGGCGGTGGTCAGGCCCAAAATGTGTTTGTGGAGTTTGGCAGCTGGAGTTGGTGGCTGCCCCATCAGGAGCTGTGGGGTTGGGGATGAGGGGTAGATGTGGGGGTCTGACCCTTCTCCCAAGACCCTCTATGGGGTGGTGTGGGTTCCAACAAGAATGAGGGGGCTGGGGCTGAGGGTGTGAGGAAACGGCAAGCAAGCCTCTGCCTCCATCAGCACTCACTGCCTCCTCCCTGAGTGTCATCTTGCAGGAACACCAGCTGCATTGGGTTAGGACAAGCCCCATTCCTGCATGGTCTCGTTTTACCTATACCTGCAGAGCACAGGTGCTGGGTGGACCAGAAGGAGGTGGTGGGTATGGCCAGGAAAGAAGAGTACGCTGCTCAGCAGTCTTCAGAGGAGCAGCGTGTGGGGCCGGAAGACAGGATGGGTGGGTGAGGGGCCCTTGCCTGGCATGTGCACGACATCCACCAGGACTGGTACCTGCCTGCTGAGTCTGTGGCCCCCCACGACAGGATGTGGTTGTAGGGGTGCTACAGCCCAGAGGCCATGGTGGTGTGGTGGGCTAAGGGAGATTTCAGATCAAGTGTTCAGAGGGGACACAGGGCCAGGCTGAAGTAGGACACCTGCCAGGCTCAGGCAGGTCAGAGGGCAGGTGTCTTGTGAGAGTCCCAAGGGGAGTTGGTGAGGGAGAGGGAGCTGGGGGGCTGGTGCCCCTATATTTGAAGGCAGAGGCTTCCTAGTATGGGTAGAAGGTATTGAGAGGTTTCTGGATTGGGGCAGGTGGGCACAGGGCAGAGCCTCTGGGGAAGTGAAGGGGGTGGGCAGAGGTAGGGAGACTGCTGCCCAAGCTGCGGGTGGGCTTGTGGGTAGAGCTGCAGCCTTTCTGGGGGCATGGCTAAGGACAGAGGGGCCCAGTGTCCTTGCACCAGCACCCTGGGGGCTATGACCAGCCACAAAAGACTGCCCTTGAGTCCTGAGGGGCCAGCCCCAGGCCCCTGAACTCACCCTGACCCTCTGTGTGCTCTGCACTCGGGGGTCCCTGGGTAGAGGGTGCTCATTCCCCAGGGTGGGGTTGCCTCTTGCGCAGCAGATTTGGCCTCCCAGGGAATGCTCTGGCCTTGGTCCCTGACTGAGCCTTTCTGTCCCCCACAGGACACACAGGTAGACCTCTGGCAAGTTCTACACGACAAGCTGTGTGTGATGAGTAGTCAAACTTCTCCTTGCAACATCCTGGTCTCTGACAGCATGCAGCAGGCTAGCATCCCTCAAACCATGGTGGCTATGCCAGGAGCCAGCAGCCCCTGCAGGCTGGAGGCCAAGGCATCTCCATCCTCCCAGGCCAGGGGCATAGCTGGGGTGTACATGGAGGCCTCAGGCCAGGTCCAGAGTTTCTACATGGCCATGAGGCAGGGCCATCTGCCTGCGGGGCTCGGGCTGGCTCTGCTGGAGGCCCAGGCAGCCACTGGAGGCCTCGTGGACCCTGTCCAGGGCCAGCTGCTCCCTGTGTCACAGGCTCTGCAGGAGGGCCTGGTGGGGCTGGAGCTAAGGGAGAAGCTGCTGGCTGCTGAGTGTGCAGTCACTGGCTACCCAGACCCCTATGGGGGTGAGAAACTGGCCCTCTTCCAGGCCATTGGGAAGGAGGTCGTGGACAGGGCCCTGGGCTGGAGTTGGTTAGAGGCCCAGTTGGCCACAGGGGGCCTGGTGGACCCTGCCCAGGGCGTACGAGTGGACCCTGAGACAGCCTGCCAGCAGGGCCTCCTGGATCGGGAGACGTGGCAGGGCCTGTTGGAGCTTGAGCCCAATGCTAGTGCCCCGGGTTTCCTCGACCCTAACACTCTGGAGTGGCTGACATACTGCAAGCTGCTGGAAAGGTGTGTGCAGGCCCCTGGCTTAGGGTTGACCCTGCTACCCATCAGGACCACATTCCACTCCCTGGGCAGGGCAGTGAGTGCTGCTGAGCTGCTAGAGGCAGGTGTCCTGGACAAGGAGGCCGTGCAGGGCCTGCAGGAGGGCAGGCTGGCTATGCAGGATGTGAGCAGGCGTGCTGAAGTGCGGCAGTACCTGGAGGGGACTGGCAGTGTGGCGGGGGTTGTCCTGCTGCCTGAAGGCTGCAAGAAGAGTTTTTTCCAGGCCATCTCTGAGCATCTGCTCCCAATGGGCACTGTACTCCCACTTTTGGAGGCTCAGGCTGCCACCTACACCCTGGTGAACCCAGCCACAGGCCAGCGGCTGTGGGTGGATGAGGCAGTTAGGGTGGGCCTGGTTGGCCCTGAACTCCATGAACAGCTCCTTGTGGCAGAGCAGGCTGTGACAGGGTACCATGATCCCTTCAGCATCTCCCGGATTCCCCTCTTCCAGGCCATGAAGAAGGGACTGGTGGACAGGCCGCTGGCACTGCGACTCCTGGATGCACAATTGGCCACAGGTGGCTTAGTATGTCCTACCCGCAGGCTTCGGCTGCCTCTGGGGGCCGCCCTGCACTTTGGCTGCCTGGACAAGGGTACTCAGCAATTGCTCTCACAGGCTGCTGGCTTCATGGACCCCAGCACGCACAGAAGCCTGCGCTATGAACAGCTGCTGGCCTGCTGTGTCACTGACCCTGAGACAGGGCTTGCCTTCCTACCCCTACCAGGGGGGCTTTGTGGAGAGACACCCCAGGGACCCCCATTCATTGAGGCCTACACTCGGCAAGCCTTGAGTGCAGCCATGACCACCATCTCTGTGGGGAAGGCCCAGGAACAGCCCGTGTCCCTCTGGGAGCTGCTTTTCTCTGAGGCAGTCCCTGTACAGCAGAGGGCAACACTAGCCTGGTGGCATCAGGAAGGCACCCTGTCAGTGGAGGAGCTGGCCACTGAGCTGAAATCTATCATCGAGCAAGCTGCAGCCACTGCCAGGGTCACCTTTGCTGGGCTGAGGGATGCCGTGACCCCAGGAGAGCTACTGAGTGCCAAGATCATTGACCAGGATGTGTATGAGCAGCTGGAACAAGGACAGACCACGGCCCAGGATGTGGGCAGCCTGGACTCAGTGCAGCGCTACCTGCAGGGTACAGGTTGCATTGCCGGCTTGCTGCTGCCGGGCTCCCAGGAGCGGCTCACTGTCTACGAGGCCCGTGGCAGGGGGCTGCTCAGGCCCGGCACTGCCCTCATCCTTCTTGAGGCACAGGCTGCCACTGGCTTCATCATGGACCCCAAGGAAAACAAGAGCCACTCTGTGGAGGAGGCACTGAAGGCTGGTGTCATCGGGCCCGACGTGTACATGAAGCTGCTGTCGGCAGAGCGTGCCGTCACCGGCTACACTGACCCCTACACCGGGGAGCAGATCTCCCTCTTCCAGGCCATGCAGCGGGACCTCATTGTGCGGGACCATGGCATCCGCCTGCTGGAGGCCCAGATCGCCACGGGCGGGGTTATCGACCCTGTGCACAGTCACCGCGTGCCCGTGGATGTGGCCTACCAGCGCGGCTACTTTGACCAGACACTGAACTCCATCCTCTTAGACCCCAGCGACGACACCAAGGGCTTCTTCGACCCCAACACACATGAGAACCTCACATACCTGCAGCTGCTGGAGCGCTGTGTGCACGACCCCGCGACAGGCTTGCACCTGCTGCCGCTGTCCGGTGCACAGCCCCAGCTTGTAGACAGCGCCACCCGGCAAGCCTTCCAGAACCTGTTGCTATCTGTGAAGTACGGGCGGTTCCAGGGGCAGAGGGTCTCTGCATGGGAGCTGGTCAACTCAGAGTACGTTAGTGAGGCCCAGAGGAGGCAGCTGCTGCGGCACTACCGGCTGGGCAGGGTCACGCAGGAGCAGGTCAAGCACCTGCTGGAGGCTGCTTCATGCAGGAGGGCGGACATCACTGTGCCCACACTGCGGGGCCATGTCACCGCCTATCAGCTCCTGGAGGCCCGTGTTATCAACCAGCAGCTCCTAGACCAAGTGCTGGCAGGGACAGTCAGCTCCGAGGCCCTCCTTCACCTGGACAGTGTACGCAAGTCCCTACACGGCTCGGGTGCTGTGGCCGGCGTGCTGTTGCAGCCTTCGAACCAACAGCTCAGCCTCTACCAGGCCATGCAGCGCCAGCTGCTGAGCCCCCGTGTGACCCTGGCTCTGCTGGAGGCTCAGGCGGCCACTGGAGCCATTGTAGACCCTCACAGTCTGGAGACTCTCTCAGTGGATGAGGCCGTGTGCAGAGGCGTGGTGGGGCCAGAGCTATACCACAGGCTGAGGTGGGCCGAGGGCTCTGTCACTGGCTTCAGAGACCCTTTCTCTGGGAAGCGGGTGTCCTTGTTCCAGGCCATGAGGAAGGGCCTTGTCCCTTTAGAGCAAGCCACCCGCCTCCTAGAGGCCCAGGTGGCCACAGGAGGGGTCATTGACCCCACAGGCCACCTACATCTCCCCATGCCAGTGGCCATTGAGCGTGGCTACATCGACCAAGAGACAGAGGTGGCTGTGTCCAGGGCCTCTGAGACCTTCCCCACACTGAATGGCCAGGGACATACCAGCTATGTCCAGCTCCTGGAGCAATGTGCTCAGGATGAGACCTCTGGCCTTTACCTCCTGCCCTTGCCAGAAAGTGCCCCCACCATCCCCACTGATAAGCAGATTGAGGAGGTCCTCCGGACCACTCCAGGCACGGCAGGCAGCTTGTCTCTCTGGGACCTGCTTGGCTCTCACCACTTCACTGAAGAACAGAGGAGGGGCTTCCTGGAGGACGTTCGGGAGGGGAGGACCACCACAGCCCAGCTGCATGAAACTGTGCAGAAGTGGGTGCGGGGGGCCGAGCTCTTCGCCCAGGCGCACATCACAGTGCCTGGCCCGTGGGGTGAGGTCCCCGCCACCTGGCTGCTGGACATGGGCATTATCACTCAGGAGACCTTGGAGGCACTGGTTCAAGGCACGCAGTTGTCTGTGGAGGTGGCCAAGCAGCCAGATGTGAAGGCTTGTCTGTGGGGCACAGGCTGTGTGGCAGGAGTGTTGCTGCAGCCCTCTGGGACCAAGGTCAGCATTGCCCAGGCCATGAAAGATGGCCTCCTGGCCGCGGGCCTGGGGCAGAGGCTTCTGGAGGCCCAGGTAGCATCTGGATCTCTTGTTGACCCTTTGACCAGCCAGAGACTGTCAGTGGAGGGGGCAATCAAGGCTGGCCTGGTGGGCAGGGAGCTGAGTGAGCGTCTCCGGCAGGCCGAGAGGGCTGTGGCCGGGTACACAGACCCCTACTCGGTGGGCCCCCTCTCTCTGTGGCAGGCTGTGGAGAAAGGGCTTGTGCCCGAGAGTGAGGGCTTTCCCCTCCTACAGGTGCAGCTGGCCACAGGGGGTGTGGTGGACCCTGTGCACAGGGTGCATCTGCCCCAGGCAGTGGCTTGCAGGCTTGGCCTCCTGGACGAGCAAACAGGCCAGACACTGACCACAACCGAGGCAGACAACAAGTTCTTCTTTGACCCCAACACACAAGACAAGGTGACATACCAGCAGCTCAAGGAGCTCTGCATGCTGGATGCTGAGACTGGCCTGTTTTTGCTGCCACTCCCCCAGGACACAGCGCTGCAAGTGGATGACCACACTGCGGTGGCCTTGAGGGCCATGAAGGTGCCCGTCAGCACAGGGAGGTTTCAAGGGTGCAGCGTGTCACTCTGGGACCTGCTGTGCTCTGAGTACATCAGCCCTGACAAGCGGCAGGAGCTGGCGGCCCTGTGCCGGTCTGGGAGGGCGGCAGCACTACGGCAGCTGGTCAGCGCAGTCACAGCTCTAGTGGAGGCTGCAGAGGGGCAGCCCCTCCCAGCCATCTTCACAGGGCTCCGGAAGAAGGTGTCAGCCCAGGATTTGTTCAGGTCCCAGCTGATCACCAAGAAGATGCTGGAGGAGCTGCAACAGGGAAAGAGGACTGTGCAGGAGGTCATGCAGATGGAGAGCGTGAGGCAGGCCCTGGAGGGGGGCAACTTCATCGCTGGGGTCCTCATCCAGGACACCAAGGAGAGGCTGAGCATCCCAGAGGCCCTGCGAAGGCACATCCTGCGGCCCGGCACGGCCCTGGTGCTGCTGGAGGCGCAGGCGGCCACTGGCTTCATCATCGACCCTGTGCAGAACCGGAAGCTGACTGTGGAGCAGGCATTCGAGGCAGGGATGTTTGACAGAGAAACCTATGCAAAGTTGCTGTCTGCCGAGCGCGCTGTCACCGGCTATACCGACCCCTACACCGGGGAGCAGATCTCCCTCTTCCAGGCCATGAAGAAGGACCTCATCGTGCGGGACCACGGCATGCGCCTGCTGGAGGCCCAGATCGCCACAGGTGGCATCATTGACCCTGTGCACAGCCACCGCGTGCCTGTGGATGTGGCCTACCAGCGCGGCTACTTCGACGAGGAGATGAACCGCGTCCTGGAAGACCCGAGCGACGACACCAAGGGCTTCTTCGACCCCAACACGCATGAGAACCTCACCTACCTGCAGCTGCTGGAGCGCTGCGTGGAAGACCCCAAGACGGGCCTGCACCTGCTACAAATTGTAAAGAAAGGAGAAACCTACATGTACATCGATGAGGCCATCAGGAACACTCTTCGATCCAGAACCATGGAGATGCATGTGGGGAGGTTTGCCCACCAGACAGTCTCTCTCTGGGATCTGCTGTCCTCATCGTATTTCACAGAGGAAAAGAGGCGCCAGCTCTTGCAGGACCACAGAGTCCAGGATGGGAGCCTGGAGGAATTATCAGAAGTCATTACCACAACCATCCAGGAGGCAGAAGAGCAGAGCCAAGCCCTCAAGGTGGCAGCCATCAGGGGGAGCACGACAGCCGCAGACTTAATCAGCACCGGAGTCCTAGACAAAACGACCCTGGAGGTGCTCTGCAGGGGTCACAGGGCTGGGGAGGCCCTCAGGCAGCTGGAGCATGTGAACATCTACCTGGAAGGCAGTGGCTGCATTGCTGGGGTGACCGTGCCCCCTACCCAGGAGGTGGTGAGCTTTTATGAGGCCAGCAGGAGAGGGTTCATTCCCATAGCATTTGCAGCCCAGCTTCTGGAGGCACAGGCTGCCACTGGGTCCCTAATGGACCCCTGCACCCAGCAGAGGCTGTCTGTGGATGAGGCTGTGGCTGCAGGACTGGTGGGTGAAGAGCTACAAGAAAGGCTCTTAGCTGCCGAGAAGGCTGCCACAGGCTATCACGACCCAAATTCAGGAGACACAATCCCGTTGTTCCAAGCTTTGGAAAGGAACCTGATCAAGAAGGCAGATGCCCTGAGGCTGCTGGAGGTACAGGTGGCCACTGGAGGCATCATCGACCCGCGAGTACACCACCGACTCCCACTACAGACAGCCTACAGACGTGAGTGTCTAAACCAGGATGTGTATGCGCTCGTGGCTGATCAGAAGCGCATGAAGAAAAGGTTCGTGGACCCCAACACACAAGAGAAGGTCACGTACCAGGAGTTGCAGGAGAGATGCCAGAGACAGGAAAACACAGGGTGGGCACTGTTCCCAGTGGTCAGGGACACAGAAGAGCTCCAGTACATCGATGAGGCCACAAGAAGAGCTCTCAAGGCAGAGCAGGTACAAGTGACTCTGGGCAGGTACAGAGGACGAAAGGTGACAGTCTGGGAGCTGCTCAACTCAGAATATGTGACAGAGGAAAAAAAGCTCGAGCTGGTCAGAATGTACAAAAGGGACACCACACGAGCACTACAGAAAGTTGTACAGGTGATCTTACACTTGATGCAGGAGCAGGAACAGAGGCAGAAGCGGCAGTGGTTTCGAGGCATAAGAAGGAATGTCACAGCCACAGAGCTACTCAGTGCAGACATCCTGACAAAAGACATGCTGGAAGGCCTGCAGAAGGGCACACTCACACCACGGGAGATTGTAAGAGATGACAGAGTGAGGAGCTACCTGCAGGGCACCAGCAGCATCGCGGGCGTCCTGGTGCCCTCCAAGGACGAGCCCGGCCGCCAGGAGAAGATGAGCATCTACCAGGCCATGTGGAAGGGCGTGCTGCGGCCCGGCACGGCCCTGGTGCTGCTGGAGGCGCAG